TATCTAGGCTATAACGGTGAACGCGCACCGGGTGAGAATAGCCAAAAGACTAGCCTGCACTATTCTCATCCCGGGTGAGAATAGAGGTGGCCAAGATGGCCTTTTTTAACTTTGTTTTGGTCAATTTCATCGTCCACACTGATAGACAGTATTCAGAAAGAGACAGAGAGAGAGAGAAGAGGGGAGGAGTTGATCTTGCGAGAACTTCCGGGCGGGTGAGAATAGCCACTTTCTTAACCGACATGTGAGTGTGAGTGAATGTGTAGATAACCACATCAATTTCAAAAGAATCATAATACTACGAAAACAAGGAACCTTATTCTATCAATTTATAAGCTCCTTACATTATGAGACTTCTGATCGCTATCGAAACCACTGTCTTCCATGTTGTTGTCCATCTGTTCGTCAATATTTGTGTCCAGATGAGACTCATTATTCACGAAAAGCCCATGTTATCATTTCCTTTCTCTTCTGTATCTCAACTGTTTTTATTAATTTCTTTGGCTGGAGAGTCGATCAATCTGAAAAAAAAATATGCCAGGCAGGGACAGGGACGTACTGAGAATTATTATGTTAGCCAAGCCTAGCAAATATTCTACACTATAATATAATATTCTCAAATTTTTAACTAAATTCGGTTGATTTTTATATTCAACATATGAAGGCCAATTAGTAGGCAATATAAAGAGAACTAGAATCTATATTATGGGAATTGGAAATTGACCAAATTTGACATTAGTAGATTCCAACTGCATTTATTTGGCATCTTGAATGAAGATTTCATAAAATACTGATCAACAATAGGCTTAGTAGCAGAACAAGTCTATACTTTTGTAATATTAATGAGCAAAGCAAGTTATTTGGCAATCATCTACTTTTAATTTTTCTTAAAAATATATGTAATTTATAAAATATTATATTTGTACTTCTTTGAATGCTACAAATACTTGAAGTATTCAACCTCTAGCGTTCTATTTTCTTTCGTGAAATTAAGATTCTTATTTTATTTGTTTTCTTCGCATCAATATGGCGACCGTCTTGAGTCCGTTTGTCTACTGGGGACAGTCCAATGAAACTTTGTCTTTGAAAGTAGACCTAAGAAATGTTGAGGTAAGGTTGAATCCATTTGTACATCATTCTCTGTAAGCCAGCGACACTTTCCTGTTTTTCTTGGGGGAGGAGGGATGTCGTGTCTATAATCTTTCTTTTAGCTTTTTTAGCCGGGGACGGGGGATGTTGCAGTTGGTTGGTTGGTGGCGATTTTGTAGTTTCGTTCGTTAAAGTCAAGCAGGGGGGTTTCAGGGTGGCTTGCCCCCCTGACATAAAAAAAATATGGAGATGGGGGGTTCAGGGGGGCATGCCCCCCTGAATTAGGCTGAATTTTATCCTAATTTGATGTTTTGCAATTTGCAGTTAGGTTGCATCCCTGCTCTTTGTGTAGCCTAATTCAAAATAGATCTAGATCTAGATCTAGTATTTGGTCTTCAAGACTTCTGGATTTCTTCTCTGGATGTAAACAAATGGATCGTGGACTTTAACGAACGGAACTACAAGATCACCGATTTTCTAGATCTATTATAGATCTAGATCTATATCTAGATATCTAGATCTAGATATCTAGAATCTAGAAATCTAGATCTATAGGACAATAGGTCGTTCAGCCTCAGCTGCCCACACCTAAGACCTAAGAGCGAATTATCGCGAAGTCCTCTGACTGCTTTGAAATTTTCCATATAGATTCTAGATATCTAGACTCTAGATTCTAGATCTAGATCTAGATCTAGTGTTAGATTTTACTGGACGTTACAGATTCTAAATTTTGTGGTTAAGAAACCTTTACAAGTTAGGTTCCGATAGGTTTCCTTTGATGTTCGCCGAAACTATGTCAGATTTATAATAGAAGTTTTACAATAGAAATTACATACGATGACACGGAGAAAATGTCTGATTTTCGTTGCAACACACCAACTTATACAAAGCAGGGGCGGAACTCGTAGGAAATGTATGAATGACCAGAAAGTCACCAGGTCCTTGGTGAACAAGTCCAGGCTGATGAGACAAACAAAACGTAAATAACTTTCCATATGGGCATAAAAATAATAACATTTTGGTTACAATGGACAGCTAACGCTTGTAAGTTTTATAAAGGAAAGTGGCTATTCTCACCCGCCCGGAAGTTCTCACAAGATTTACTCCTCCCCTCTTCTCTCTCTCTCTGTCTCTTTCTGAATACTGTCTATCGGTGTGGACGATCAAATTGACCAAAACAAAGTTAAAAAATGATGTTAAAACACAAAAGTAAATTAAT